TTTTATGTTATGAGTGCTTAGTGTATATTTAGTTGATGTTTTTCTTAGTTCATATCTTAGATGTTATTACTGTTTTTCTTAGACATTTTATTGTTGGATGTAACTGGGACCCCGTGTACATAATTTCGCTCCACCACATGTACCACATGAGGTGCGAATGACAATAAAGAAACTCTGACTCTGACTCTCTGACTCTGATCAGTCAAGTTCAGACAGATTAGACAATTAACAGAAACACAAAATGCAACCTAAGAACAAAACGTGAATGGGTGTACTAAAGAGAATGTTTTTAGGGTTCGAAAAATCTAAAGGTTTTAAATCAGGGACCAATCTGCACAAGTCTCATCATCTTTACAAATAAGACAGACACAAAAGATGACTTTAAAAAATGTATTCTGATTTGTCCAAACAGTGTAACATGTACCTGAGAGACGGGAGAAATGTACAATAAGACAGTGTGAGGTTCTCAACAGAGAGACCACCTACTGTTGTAAGTGCACGATGATCATAAAGGAGAAGGAAAATAAATTAAATGTTTGCAACACAAAGCATTAGCTGAAGACAGACAGATGTAAATGACAAAAGGAACAATAATCGTAATTGACTGGCTAGAATGGCACAATACCTTAAAAATGGAATGTGAACAGTAAAAGAAACATTTTAAAATTAAATAAATAAAATTTCACAAAAGTCATCAACTGCACCGATAACGCAAAAATGCATTAAAAAAATGATGGAAGAACAGAAGAGTCATAAAAAGCAAAACTCCCACCTGGAAACATGGACATAAATTACCTTTTCTTCTGCCGCAGCATTTCAACAAATAAAGTAAAATAAAAATCCCTGACCATCATCTTGAACGACGAGTTTAGTTTAGAAACAAGCAGAGGTCACTTCACAATCCAATGTTAGAGCTTATCTTTGGTAAACAGCAGTGTGGACAACTCTGTTAGAAAGTTTGACACATTTCTGTTATGCAATTACAGATTGTCCCCAACAAACAAAACATATTTTAAAATAGAGTTTAAAAAGAAGTTATGAAATTAAAACGCCTACATGACCTTTTGGTTAAAACAATTTGCAGTTGTCAAATGTCAGTCACAGCGCAGAAGAATGGGCAGATAAACAAATTAAAAGGTACAACTGTGACAGGAAATAAAGTTCCATGCAAATGCAGGTGCAAATTAAACTGATTTAATAAATATTCTCCTTTCTGACATTTACAGTGTGGAATGGAAAGCTATCCTTACTGTTCACACATTCATCTATCTTTTTATTTTCTCACAAATAAAGTCTTTACAGTTCAGTCTTACGTGAAGACTGTTGGTTAGAATAAAGGACACTTGTGTTTGTGTGTTTTTGCATCCCTGGAGTGTGCATTGTAAAACTGAGCAGCCTGTGAAGCAGATGGCGTCCTGAGCTCCGCAGTCTTCACACAGAATCAGTCAGCAGCACTGAATGAGCTTCCAGTAGTCCACAGTACATCCAGTGAATAAACTCTGCAGTAGTATCTCCTCTCGTAAAGTTCGAGTGAATGAAGACTCTGACATCCTTCTCTCTGACAGCCAGCACGTTTTATTAAACAAGGCACAATGGGAGATGCGATCCAGCCTTAAAGTGCTTCAGTTACCATGGATGTAACCGTGGCAAAGTCGAGGTGCGTCACCTGTTGTTTTTTAACATTTGCCGGTTCCACATGCCACGCTTGGAGTGATGGTAGTGGAAAAAGTTCCTCAAATAGATCCTCTCCACTTCCAGTCCACCCTGGAGGATCCTGAAACACAGAGGAGGCAGGAATTAACTTTTAAGACAATAAAAACAAGCCAAAAATAAAATAGTCAAAACTTGGTTAAAGTGTAGCTGCTGTGTAGGATTTCATCTTAAAAGCATCTTAAACTTACAATTAACATGTGCAGTACAAAATGCGAGCAAAATCGTTTTAGACAGAAAGGGCATTTTAAACTCGGTTTCTGTGAATGTTATTGTTTCTTCACGCCTGAAAAAGGGAGGGTCAAGCTGTTCTTTTTTTTTTTTTTTTTTTCTTAAATGAAGCAAAACCCTGTAATATATTCATGACCAGGGGTCTGCAACCTGCGGCTCTGGAGCCACATGTGACTCTTCAGTCCCTCTGCAGCAGCTCCTTCAAGCTTTGACCTAAACGAACGTAAAACTGTAATTTTTAGGATGTTATATCCACAAAAAATACTAGTTTTAACAGTTTTCCTCTCGTTTCCTTTGCAAATATGTGGAATAATAGTACTAATACACATTAAATTATACTGACTTTAACTTTATGCTTTATTTCTTCAAAGTAGGATACTCAATTACTCCACAATGAAAAAAATTACGTCGGCACAGTTCATTGTTTGTTTTAAAACAAATTAGCAAAAATAAAATGTAAATATTTTTTCTTGACAAGAATCCAGTCTTCTGTGATGGACTGGAGACCAGTCCAGGGTGTCCCCTGCCTCTCACAGTGACTGCTGGATATAGGCACCACTGACCCCCTCAACTCAAAAAATTAAGCAGCAGATGGATGGATGAAATCCAGTCTTTTCTTCTGTCTCAAATTGTAAAAATATCAATAAATGTTAATCATTGGATGCTTTAAGTTTTATAATTTCACGCCTACTGGCCAGAAAAGCCTCCTCTAACAAACTTAAAGTGGCCCATGGGCCACCAGTTGATAATGACAATTGTAGCAGGTTTTGCGGCTCTGGACACGTTTAATTTGGTGGCTCTTTTGATCATAAAGGTTGCAGACCCCTGTTCATGACCTTGTCTTCTTTACCCCAAATAAAAGCCCAAATAATATAGTAACACACAAAACTTGCTGGATAAAATAAAATGCAACGCGACAAGGTGAATTAAATCAAACACTTTATTTACTTTTAAACACTTTTTTTAGTTGTACTGGACACTCAAGACACATTCACCCATTCACACACACGCAGGGCCAACTTGGGGTTCTGCTCGGGGACATTTCAACATGCGGTGGAGTGGGGGGTATCGAACTGTCGACCTTCTGACTGATAAACGGCTCTCCTCGAGACAATTCACGAGAAATGGTTGAAGTTAGTAGATTTTGTAGATGTTTATTACAAAATTGTACACTATAGATAAAAACGGGTTTTCAGCACATTTAATACTGTGTTTGAAAGCACGAGTGCATCATTCACAGCATAAAGTCTGAGTGGATTGAATATTCTTCAGCTGATGATGGACGTCTGTCCAGACTGAGGCGATGTGAAGTGAGGAGACAAACCTGTCGAGGAGCTCCCAGTCCTCTCCTCCCCAGCGGTCTTTGAACTCCTCTGTGTTCATTCCTCCGATTGCCATCAGATCAGATTTATAGATTCCCAGCAAACCAAAACCATTAACCTCCCAGAAACCTGTAGGCACACGTCAGAGACACCATCATTTTCCAATTCATCTTTTAATTCATTGTTTAATTAACAAAAGACAAACGTTTCAAATGGCAACAGCTACAATGACTTCTATTTTTCTTCATTTCCACTTGTGCTTTATTAACTAAATATGTCAAAAAGTCAAACATCGCACAGTCTTTGCTTTTGTTGCATCTTTTATTAGTCATGTATCTGACTGGAGTTAACGTATTAACTGAAATTGACCCTTCGTCTGAAATAAGTTTTTAATTTTAGCCCCCTTTTGTAACAGAGTTCGACACCCCTGCTTTAAATCGTCTCCAAGTGTGAGTGATTTGTTTGTCTCATTTGTCTCTATGCATCCCTGTGATGGACTGGAAACCTGTCCAGGTCGCACAACGACTGTTGGACACCAGCTGCTCCATGACCCGGCAAGGAGAAGCAGGTAAATGGACTGTACTTGTATAGCGCCTTTCTATCTTATCGAGATACTCAAAGTACTTTACTCTACAATCTGTGTCCTCATTTACCCATTCATACAGCACTCTACTAGATCTGTACAAAGCTAATTGAACAAATCATTCTAAAGAGACTAATCAGAGCTTTATCACATTTATACACCCATGGGACACACAAAAGAGGCAATAAGGGGTTCAGTGTCTTGCCCAGGGACACTTGGGCATGTGACTGCTGGTGGATTCGAACCCCCAACTCTTGCATTGGAGGACAACTGCTCTAACCACTAAGCCACAGCCGCCCTAAAGAAAAAAAAAGTAAAGAAAATAAAGGAATAGTAGAAAAATGGTGAAAATACTCCCAAGTTCATTCATTAAAATTTATGTAGCTTACGCTTATTTCTGCTCAAAACACTGACTCTTACTTGGGCTTTGTTCTAGTATCACATCAGTTTTACCAATGCTCCTGTTTTCTGTCAAAACCAAAGAAATGGGTGTTTGGGCTCACCTCTGGCCTCTGACGGTGTGTGGCCACAGCCCAGCCTGAGGACTATAGGAGCGAATGCCATGTGCCCCTTCACACAGTGCTTCCTGATTGTGTCAATGATGGAAGGAGGGAAGTGGATGTGGAGGTCACACAGAAACACAATGCTGTGGTCATCCTGTGGCAGAAGGAAGACAATAAAATCATTGTAAATCTATCAACTTAGACATGTGACTTCTTGCTTGTAATGTTGGATAACTCACATTTATTTGATCGATACCAGCTTGCAGACCAGCAGAACGCTCAAAGTTCCCACCCAGCTTCACATACTGGTACCTGGTGAATTGCACGTGCGCGACTTCAGCACAAATGCTGCAGCACAAGTTTTAGTTTCAGGTAAAGTGAAATGAATACAGACCTGGGGAGTGAGGATTTCTCGAGGGCCTTCCTCACGTCCATGTCAGTGCTGCTGTAGTCAGTGATGATGAGGTTAAAGTTCGAATCTCCGGTTTCTCTGAACAGCTGCTCCATGTCTCTAATCAGCTGCAGCACCCATCGAGCCTGGTTTTTAACTGGAGAGAAAAACAAAAGGCATTCAATAACTGTTAGTGTCTCAACATAGAAAAGAATGGCAGCAGCAGGCGATGACAGCCCATTATGGGCCTTACATCACTTGGGCCTCTTTATTGTCAGTTGATTCATCCTGAAGGAATGATTAGCATCTTATAGGTATATTGCAATCCCTGGTCACTGGGACAGGTGAATGCATGCGTTTGGCTCAAATTCCAGTGATCAAAAGCCATACATTGAACATATAGAATTCATTAAAAGGAAAGTAGGAATTTATTATCAGCTCTTTTCTACATTCTTTATCTTTCATTCAACCTTTATTTATACAGGTTCGTCCCACTGAGCCTCGGGGACTCATTTACAAGAGAGCAACTTTCTTCTGAGCAACTTTCATGACAAAGTGCTGATAGGAAAGTGGTTTTTGGAACTCTGGAATTGAGATGATCTGATCAGGTTATTAGGAGAAAGTTACATATGTATTCTTTTTAAATTTCTATAACTTCCTATTTCTCAACTACTTTCAATAAAAATGGTGTTATATTCATTGTCGTTCTTAGCTGCATCCAATAGAATTACAGTAGTTTTACTAGTTCACTTTACTCCCACCTGTGGTGGAAGTGGTCTCCAGCTACAAGTACGTGGGTGTGCACCTGAATGACAACCTCAGCTGGAGCAACACCACCAGCCTGATCAAGAAAGCTCATCAGAGACTCTACTTCCTCAGACGGCTGAGACGAGCTGGACTGGGAATCTCAGTCCTCACCTCCTTCTACAGGTGTGCAGTGGAGAGCTTCCTGTGCTCCAGCATCAACGTGTGGCATGGAGGCTGCACAGCTGCAGAAAGAAAAGCTTTGCAGAGAGTGGTGAAGGCTGCACAGAAGACTGTTGGAGTCAGCCTCCCCACCATCACAGACATTTACACCTCCAGATGCAGAAAGAGGACCACCTGCATCATGAAGGACCCCACTCACCCAGCACACTCACTTTTCCCCCGCTCCCCTCGGGCAGGGGGTTGCGGAGCAATAAGTGCAGAACCACTAGACTGAGGAACAGCTTCTACCCTGAGGCTGTTAGACTCAAAAATCCTTAACCAGGATAATCATTGTAAGATAAAAAAAAAGAAAATAATTACTGTAATGACACTTTAATTGGTGATATGTGACTTCAGCTGTGCTGCTGATTATCCATGCTGCTGATCTCTGATTATCCATGTTGCTGATTTCTTGCCTCTAAACTGCTGTATTCATTCATACCCATCTACTCACTACAAACTCATGTTCAGGTTGCTGTTTAATATAACGCATCACTTTACATTATTATTGTTTAGCGTATATCTTAGATCCTTATATACCATTTCTTTTTATACCTTTGCTATTTTTGGGTGTAACTGGGACCTTTGATTACACAATTTTGTTCCACCTCATGTACCACATGTGATAATGACAATAAAGAACCTTGAACCTTTAATCCAATTTGGGATCAGATTTTTTTGTAACATTGCAACTTTTTACAGTAAAATATTTCAAGAAGACTGCTCATGTTTGGCTCGTTATTCATGACTGAGTCTAACAATATTGGCTAAATAATAAAACACAAAGCACGTAAGAAAATCTTTTGGTTCGTAATAAAAATAGGTAATGATTAAGAAAATGACTAATAATTTTATTATTTTTGTTTACACAAAAGCTCAAAGGACCCTGAAAAAAAAACAAAAAAACAAATTTGAAAATGTAAATGACACGACTGTGTGAATCAGGGGTGTTGTCCTGGTCCTTGGTGGGAGTGGGGGACTATTCTCCATGTTTTACTAGCTATATTTCTTCAACACACCTAATTCAATGGTTGAATCACCCATCCCTGTTCTGCAGAAGCCTGTTAATCACCCATTGATTCAAATCAGGTCTGTTGGAGCAGAAAAAACATTTAAAACATCGAGGATAGCGGCCTTCGGGGACCAGGATTGGACTCCTTTGTCAAAACTGTTACCAGTTGTGCCAACAAATACGATTTTTCAGACTTCAATGTAACCTCATCTTAAAGATATACCTGGAACGATGAAGTGAACGATGACCAAAGGGTCCCAGTGGAAGCCCACCGGGTTGCACAGCACCAACTGAGGTTTCAAGTGCTGGAAACCGAAGTTCCTGCTGCGCGACCTGCTGTGGCGAATCAGAACGTAGATGTAGTGAGACAGACGCAGCAGCTGGCCGTTGACATCTTTCAGCTCCAGCTCCAGGAGGTAGCGGCTGCCCTGGAAGCCGTCGACACGCTTCTCCACATTAACAACTCGGACCAATGTAAACCGCCTACAGCAACGATAAAAGAATAAAAATAAAAAATAAAGAGGACAGCAACAACTTTCAATCACAGCATTGCATTCAAATTGAACAGATTAGGACCAACTACACAGAAAACCTGTGATAATTTTACAAAACCTGGATGATTCTTGCGAGTTTAACTTCATTGTGCATGTAATTACTTATATAAATAAATGTGCATGAACTAAATCTGAAATTTACCTTTAATTCAATTGAAAAAAAAAAGCATAAAATAGGAGAAAAGCAACTGTTAAAGACAAAAGTGCATGTTTTTCCTCTGCACTGAAATTCCTAACTCCAACAAACTTGGTTATTAGTTTTATTCAAAGGCTAAATCTGATGCGGTGCGGAGTCTGCAAGTTAATAACAAATTTTCTCATTGGTGTAAAATTTTTTATTTTATCATTAATTAGGTCAAAGTTTAACATTTTTAATCCCATAGAGAAACTTTAAAGTCTCGTTTTCTGTCAGTCTACATTAAAAAAAAAATCAGCTAAAGTACGACGTTTTTAAAATGTTCAGTGAAATAAATGCATACCCCTTGTGTTTCTCATTCAGCTGGTCCATGAAGGCGCTGACCATGGGTATGGCATCACTGGAGTGCAGCAGCAGGTTTCCGGAGACGTTGCAGGTCAGGTCGATCCAATCGGAGCGCTGCGCCTGAAGATCCAGATGATTCACCTGGAAGGTCTGGTTCCAGTAGACCCGAGTGTCGAACACTGGTGCCGGAGTAGAATCCTCATCATCAGTCGCTTCTGGAAGCTCTTCCTGTTGATCCCACAGAGCGTTTCTCTCCTCCGCCGTTACGTTTACGTCGGCTCTGTCAGCGTCCCCTTTCTCCCCCATTCGACGCCCCTCTCCTCTCTCATCCGACCACCTTTTCTTCATCTTTCCTTCAGCAGTCACTTTACGGACGTGACCGTTTAAATCATCTTGAAGAGGCATATTCATCTCAATCTCTTTTTCTCTGAGAGCTTTATTGGAATAGGTTTCACTTGTTTTAGAGATGAAGTAGTTGGAGTTTCGCCTCGTGATGGTCGGGTGGGACTCCTCCTTGACTGTTGTGGTTGTTTTAAGGCGGGGAGCATCCCTGTCGTGGGTTTGAAACTGTGAGTCTTTGACTTTTTGGATTTGGATATTGTACGTTTTATGAGACTCTTGCTCTTTCAGAGCAGCTGGTTGTTGCCTCGCTTTAAACTGCTCTTTGTTAGCAAGCGCCGACTGCTCTGGTTTCTCAAATGATTCGACTTTATTTCTCGTTGCAGGTCGAACTTTTCTTTTAGGTTTTTTTCGCTCTACTTTTTGAACTGGAGCTGCTGGTTTTAACTCGGTTGCGTTTTGTTGCACATGGGGATTTGAAACTCGCACGGTCTGTAGGGGGTTATCAACCCTTCCTGGTTCTTCCTGAGGTTCTGACATTATGCCTTCCCTTTGATGCATCTGAAACTCTTGCATGCGTGGCCCTCTATCAGAGAAGTTGTGCAGTGTGTTGTTAGTCTTCACGGTGACCAAGGAGAAGAGCTTGCGACTGCGCTTCTGAACGTAATCATCGAAGTCAACTCCATAGTCTGCAAAAAGGTCATTATTTATCTGATCCCCCCTGACTTCCTTCTCTCTCTCGTAGGCCTCGTTGTCAAAGCCGTCTTCATCTTGGAGCGACATCTTCCTCTGGAAACCAAAATCTAGCATTCACCAAAAGTTGAGTCAGAAATGCAGATTGAATTGGTTTGATAACACAAGCAGCCTGACCGAAAGAACAAACAAAATACAAAAAAATACCTCTGCCTGTGCTTCCTTTTTTCTGCGTATTTGGGCGGTCTAATCTCATGTACCTAGAGAAACCAAACCTAAAGGACAAAACAGAAAATTATCTGGCAGCACGTTTTCTATGTAATATCATACTTAGAAATCACTGCATTAGATCAAGTTCTAAATAATCAAGAGATTATTTGCAGATACCGCAGTCTGACTTGCTGATATACAGATAAAACTATCTCGAGCTCAACATTATGCCAACTGTGTGCATTCTTTATTTTAGACAGAAATTCACCTTGAAAAGTGCATTTACAGTACTGTGCAAAAGTCTTGTGTCATCCCACTTTTCTTAATATTTTGCTCTCAAGGAGCCAAACTTTGGAAGTATTTTCAAGTGGTCCAAATCAATAAAGGTTTCTGAAGACCTTTCAAGGGTTTTCCTTTTCTTTTTTTCTGCTTTACACTCATTTTCAATCCAGTACCTGATCAAATTCTGAGCAATTCCTCGTTTGTTTGTCAAACCACTTGACTCTCAGCCATGAATCATTCAGCTGAGCCAGTGTACAGGTGACACATAACACATAATTTAGCAAAGAATCAATTTTAAACTGAGTTTCATGTACCAGCAGCCTGTCACCAAGACACAATGTGCTCTTGTTTCCTTAGCTGAATCTATAAAAACACAAAAGAAAACAGTTTGACACTAAATAACATTTTAGCTCCAACTCCCAAAGAGCTGTTTGCTGAATGACATGTTGTTGATGATCAACCAAAGGATGACGCATCTCTCAGGCTCTGTCTGTGTCAGGTGTTACTTTTTCCTACACCTTTTGTTATTGTTCATATTCTGCGGATTTATTTATTTATTTTTGTTTGTTTGTTTTTAGGAACTAAAGTTTTTATTTTGTTGACCACTTTGCTCCTTTTTAAGCCCACACTGCAACATGCCATCACGCTCAGGAACAACAACTAAACAGGAACAAAACTGAAAAAGCAGCTGAAGTTGACCATTTATGAAAGCTCTTTATAAAACCTAAAGAGCAACTGATACTTTAAAAGAAAGTTGGGATCCTTGAAAGCAAAACATAAAACAATTAGGAGTGCTCTATTAATTGTGAATCTTGTCTCATGTTCCTTCCTAACAAACTCACATCTCCTTGAAGTAAGCGCTGTCAGGGTAGAAGCAGTTGTTTTCTGATTCCATGTGTGTGAGCCGAGTGTAGTCATTCGGGTAGATGTAGGACATGTGGACCTGAAGAATTCAAAAAATGTAAGAAAAGAATTAGAACTTAAAGCTGAAGACCATGAGATTCTGTACACTAAAGGTTGTACAGGTGTGCAACACAGATCAGGCATGCTGAAAATAAAATTGGCCCAATAAAAAAAATAAACTTGTTTATTCTTACTTCACAATTAAAGGCATAGCATGAAGCAACGCATAGCACCCACTGCTGTTTATGCTTGAGTTTTAAGATCAGCTTATGCTGTGAAGGGACAGAGCTTTGTTCCAAGCTTGCAAAAGATGACAAGACACAATCCCATGATGGTGCAATATCAGTTGGAGCTCAAAAGTACGTGTCGAGGATGACTCTCAGTTACTATCACAACAAATTCTAGCTCAGTATTTGTTAAATTGACAGAATTATAGTCATTTTGGTGTTGGCTAAGGTGCTTTAGTGATAGTGGCCATCTTAAATTGGGTTGTAGACATTCACCAATGGTGCAATCTATGCGATACGCGGGCATACGGAGTATACCCACTAGAAAAGCTTGAGAATTACAGTAAACCCACTAAAAAGTGCCCATTGATATGCAACGTACCATAAGGCGCGTGTCATTAATACGTTAAACGGCAGTTAAATGCGTCCGTAACAATTTATCTGTATGCAGCGCTTGTTTATTACATTTGCTTATTCAGCAAGTTTTTGTATAATTCTGTACTTACTACTTAATACTTGAACATGTTTTGATACTGTTTTATAAATTCTATAACATGTTTCTAATACACAGCCAACTGTTGTACAAAGTTTGTTGTGCATTTATTCAAATAGAAGCATAAGAGAAATATGGAAATGTTCAATATGCTTTAAAATCAAAATAAATTGGCGACTACAGTGTACTTTGGTTTCTAAGCAGTGTACCCACTACAAAAATGTAGACTACACCACTGATGTTCACCCAATGGTTACTTTCTGAAAGTTTCATTAAAATCTGTCCAGTACTTTGTGAAATATTGATCAACTCAGCAGACAAATGTGCACAGACACGAGCAGAAACATTATTGCCCATTTGCCCGTCAACAAGAAATAACTAGAAAATCAAGCTATAATTAAAAACCTCACACTAAAGACAACCAGAGAACCTTTCCAAAATTAATGTATGTATGGGGCAAATTTCATCTTATAGCCAAACAATTCTAAAGTATTAGATCATTTTTTCCCCCCACTAAATAATCAAGCAATAATAAGTTAAAATCAAGAACTTGTTTGAAACATTAAAAAAATTCAAGTGAGGCAGTTCACCATTAAACATAACCAGTTTGCATTATGCAAAACCTAACGATCTCAAAAAAAGAGAGTTACAGTATCTGTGTTTGCAAAACCGGACTCGTTTCTGTATCCTGGACTTTTCTGGGTAAACAGTAAGAAAAAATGCTAAGTGGAGCCCTTTAAGTAAACATACTACATATATGTACATACAAACTGGAGTCCTTGGTAACGGAGCAGAGGGAAGTCTTTTATAGTGTAGCTGGGCTTGTACACGCAGTCAGGCAGAACACCTTTGAGGAACTTCTTGTAGATCAGAGGCACTAAAATCAAACAACGTTCAGATTTGAGTCAGCGTTTCCTCCCGCTCTGCTGGGGAGAAGAAACGACGTGCTCGGCGCTTACATCCGGGGTGATAGGAAACAGAGACGTCTCTCACCTTGATAGAACACATCTCTCGGGTCATCCCTCAGCATGTCTGCAGCAGGGCTGCGCTGCTTGGAGGGGGTGCGTTCGTGACTCGCGGCTGTCTGTGGTATGTGGCCGACGTCGCTCATCATCAAGTTCGACTCATCTGTGGGACCAAACCCCGGAGAGATATTAGTGTAAGAGAAGTGCTTCATGCTTAATGCACAGGAAAAAAAGCAGCGACTTAAGAGTTGGGTTTTTTTTCTGTCAAGAAAACAGTTTAGGACTGTGAGACGATTTGATTCAGCTTTAAACTCAAGACAGCTGGACAGATGTGGCGCTTACCAACGTAAAGAGAGATGTGCTTGGACTCGATCACTGTAAATTTAAAGCTTTGGCCCAGGAGCTGCCACTGAGAGAAAACAAACAAAAACAACAACAACAACAAAATACATTTCTTCCTGTCTACACCCACAGTGAGAAGCAAAGTCTGAGCATCAGAGTCTGAACAAATGATACGAGCTGGGAAATTAAATTAAATAAAAAAACAACTTACTGCCACCTCGACGTGGTCGGTCCCTTTGTCATTTTGCTTGTGAATAACTTCAAAAAAGTATCTCCTCTTGTCAGACAGCCTGGAAGACAGTTAGGACTCATCATCAGTCTAGTAGATCCAATCTAATCAAAATAAACAGCTCGGTAAATGTATATTTTGGTGTGAGATCTGTGTTTGACTCTACTGCAGCAGTTTGATCCCATTAAAATCGATCAGTCCACTTCCTTCATGGCCACTTTGGGCTGATTTAGCAGACAATGTCTGTTCTTTACAAACTATTGGATTCTTAAGGAAAACCAACATTACATCTTCTGTGTTTTTCCTCAGTACAGTATTTTGTTAACATATATCCAGGGCAAGGCTTCATCTGAGCTGGATCCTGCAGGAATAGGATCCAGGAACTCTCTTATTTTGACAGGGTGCATTCCAATAACTGTTTGCGCGGATCAGGTAACTCTCAGGTTTACTAATAATAAAGTTATGAACAAATACGACGGCCTTGAACAAATAAAACCTATATTGGATATGTAAACTGAAAATAATTACATATACATGAATTTTAAACGCAACACTTACGAGCTGCCTCTTCACGTAGCATTTCCGTGTCTACCCTTAAAAAAAATCTCCGTCCCTAAAGGAGTGGTGGGGTTGAGTGCTGAGCTAACCAGGCAGTCGTACACGGGCAGGAGCCCACAGCCGCATGCAGGCGCCTGGAGGCTTCACATGTGGATATGGACAACAATGAGCAGGGACAGAGTCGGGCTCGGTTCCAACCATCAAGAGAGGGCAAAGTGTGGCCTGCGGGCCATTTGTGGCCCTTAAAGTGATTCCATGCGGCCGCCAACTGCGATTTAAAAATGGCCTCATTTTAGCCAAAGAGTTCAACAGGTTGATGCAGATGGACACTTGTTGCATGATATTCTTAACGTTTTTTAGGTTCAACAGAAAACCGGATAAACGTATATTTTTATTTAAAGTGCAATATTAGTCAAAGTTTCTTTATTTGTTGTTCACACTAAATGTAGTACATGTGGTGGAATGAAATTGTGTATACAGGGTCCCAGTTACATTAAACAATATTACTACAACATATTAAGCACAAAAGTTTTTTTTACATTTACTATTTTTATTAAAATTAAAAACAACAGACAAGCTTTTTTTTTTATTATTTTTTTTTTATCAATTTTTACCAAATAAGACTTTTTGATAACCATTCATAAAACTTGGCTAAACACAACCAAAGTTTTTGCAGGAAACACATGCTGCTGATTTAATCATGAATAGAGAGATTGGATGTAACAAGCATCATTTACCTACAATTCAATTGCCTTTAGCGGTGTTTCTTCACACCTGCTCTTTGATTTAGCTTTAGCGACTACATGTTTTCAGTGCTTCAGCCACCCTATTAGAACATGGTCGTGTGCGTCCGGGAGATTTTAGCCAAAAAGTCAGATATAGGGATATGAATTGCAACCCAACAACAAAAAAAAAAGGCGGCTTTTTTTTATTTATTTATTTATTTTTTTTCAAGTTTTTGAAGAAAGTAACTCATTTTGCACTTTTGTTTCCAGGAACAGACTCAACTGTACTTTCTTATGGCAAAATTCCCACAACGACAACAACGAACCAACAAATCACAGGACTTGCATTTCTTTTATTAATGGTAAATGTTTGCGGTGAGGCTTTTCATGCTTAGATCTTCAACTCCTTTCTCAACAAAAGTATTTAGTGACAGCTTTTGAGCAAATATGCCCCGTTTTGGATTTTTTTTTAGGTAATCAACATCAGGACAAAAAAAAAAAAAAGATTTTTATCTGATCTTTCTATAAATCAAACCTCACCCTGCCATGTTGCCTCGTGTCAATATTTAACAAAAACTAGGACAAGATGCAGAAGTAGGGAATAAAAATGTATATTCTCACTATTTCCAAAAAAGTAAGGAGGTTTAGCAGCAGTCAGGTGGTGGTAACCAAATGTTAAATTAATTATTAGCAAGTGTGTTGCTTCTATTAAAGCCAAATATAAAATAAAAAGTTTTTTGTTTTCTTTGCTTCAGTTTTGTGTTAAGATGATTCAAGAAGAAAAAACAGAAAAAATCAAATGTTGCTGCCAAATATTCTTGGACAAAGTGCATTTTATGTGCATGCCTTGGTTCATTTGATGACTTAAATCTAATTATTAGCTTTCTTTAATTCTCTTCTGCCAATAATACTTTAATGATTGTGTATTGTTGTTTGCACTTCATCTGTGGTCTTTGTTTAAAACGGGTTTCTCTTGTTAATGAGTGCTCGTGACTCACTGAGACCAACCTGTAAAAATCAAGTTTAAATGAATGAATGAAAAAAATAATCCAAAAGCCCTAATGAGGATTAAACAAGCAGCAAATGATTTGTTCTTTACTACAAAAATGACACTTATTTACCTAAAACACAGCAAAAAAAGATAATTTTCATCATGAAAATACAACCAACAGCAACAGTATAAATCCCAAACTAAACAGAGATAAATCAGTGATTTAAAAAAAACCATGAAAACAATTCCACCAAGTGTATCTGTACTTCCAACTGGATTGTCAGGATGACGACGTCATCGCATGAATTCCTTATCAAGATCTGCTGCAGCACTATTTTAAATAGCAAAAGCTCAAGCCATAAAAAGCAGCTGTAGAGGGATTACCATGAAAATAATAATTGAATGAGGTAAAAGCAAACAACTTCCAAACACAACTACCATCAAAACCAAATAAAATGTAATAAAACTTGTTTAATTTCAATCTCTTGAGTTGGGGGTTCGAATCCTCCAGCAGTCACATACTGAAGTGTCCCTGGGCAAGACACTGAACCTCACTGCCTCCGATGTGTGTCCCATCGGTGTATGAATGTGATAAAGCCGATTAGTCTTTGTAGAGATCTAGTAGAGTGCTGTATGAATGGGTAAATGAGGGCACAGATTGTAGTGTAAAGAGCTTTGAGTGTCTTGATAAGATAGAAAGGTGCTAGATAAGTACAGTCCATTAAGCATCTATCCCAGAAACCTTTATATAAATGTGTCAAGTTATACGTCATTTTAAGAGGCATTTAAACCCTAAAGCAAGGCTATTCAACTAAATTTCTCAGGAGGCCATAGTTACTGCAACCAAGAGCTCAGTGGCCAGACATCCAGCAGTTATTGTCATTAAGTAAGTTTGTTTAATGGTTTAAAATCTGGTTTTATTTGAAAATGAACCCATTGGTGGGCTGAACTGAGTTCATCTGTGGGCCTGATTTGGCCCCCAGGCCGCCAGTTGAATAGCCCTGCCCTAAAGCAACAAGTGCAGCAAGTGGAACTAATGAGTCAGAAACCCTGCAGTCCCAGTTTTCTTATGTCACGTCTTCACCCCCACCCCCAACTCCACTGTTTGCATTAGAACTGTAGAACATATACAACTGTAGAACTGCAGTCCATTACAACAGATTTGACAAATGAACTGTAGTCGGGACTCACCTAACTGGTCTGGAGGTCTGACTGGCAAACTTCTCAAATTCACCCGGGGCTGTCCATTCTTTGCCCGTCTATAAAACAAGACACAATGTATACAAATGTCACGGTGGTGGTGGTGTTTCTGCTATGAGGAAATCACTGTCAGTCGAGAAAATGACATGCATACCTTTCCAACCCAGGCCAGCAACTGCAAGTTGAGGGGGGAGTGGTCTGAGCTGAGCCACAACTCAGAGTTGTCATCAGAGCTCAAGGCAAACACAAACTCGCCTGACAGAGGAAGAAAATGAAAGAAAGGTGATAAAATAAAAGACAGAAGACGTATAGTAATAATAGTATAAAAATATATATATATAAAATAAATTGAAAAGTAAAATTGTATTTTCTATGAAAAGGCACAGTGACTTTAGAACATTTAATGGCTTAGCCAAAACCGAGTTGTTAAAGCTAAAAGGGAACTGAGAACAACAACAAAAAAAAATGGCTGAAAGTAGGAAAATCTAGCTTCTTCTTTCGGCTTTCCCCTCTTCAGGGGTCTCCACAGAGAGTCATCCTCCTCCATCTCCGTCCTCTGCCTCCTCTGTCCTCACTCCAACTACCTCCATGTCCTCTCTAACTGCATCCATATATCTCCTCTTTGTCTTTTTCCTGGCAGCTGAATTTCTAACATCCTTCTACCAGTATACCCACTGTCCCTCCTCTGGACATGTCCAAACCATCTCAGTCTGGCCTCTTTAACTTTATCTCCCAGTTGTTCAACCTGTGCTGTACTAAAAGTATCAAAAGGCTTGCTAAATAGTCAAAGCAGGAAAAAAAAAAGCTACAGACAACTAAAAGCAGCAGAATGAGAACTAAAAGTAGCACTAGGCAAGCTAAAAACTGCAGAAGAGTAGCTAAATTTGAAAAACACTGGCTAAAAAAAAGCCAGCTAGCTAATAAGTAAAAAATAGCTAAACTAAAAACAGCTAATTGTTTGCTAATAGTAGCAAAAAATAGGCAAAGTGCTAAATGTAACAAAACGTAAAGCTAAAAGATAAAAATTAGTAGAACTGTTGATAAGACTATTGTAGCCAAAGGCTAAATGTAGCAATGAGCTGCATACAAACTAAAAGTGGCAACAGATTTTAAAGAGAACACCGTTTCATTGGGTTTGTAGAAATCTGTGTATTTCTATGGAGAAAATATTTGTAAATAAATGTAAATATTTGTAAAGTAGAAAAGTTACAAGAACTAAAAGTAACAATACTTTGTAAGACTAATCTCCCAAAATAGCCAATTGTTTTTTTATATATGAATGACCAAAATAGCATAAAATATTCACAAGAAGTTTGATTGCACAAACATATAGAAAAATACAAAATTAAGTGGGGATACTGAATTCAGGAAATAAAGTACCATCAGCATATGGATGTAAATAACCAAATATCCTGAGCCCATAGTTGGTCCACTGAGGAGAGACGGCCAGTTTCTGCACCGTGGTCCTGGACTGAAAGAGGAAAGGCAGATATCCAGAGAATCAGGCTTGTTGTTGGCTCAAAGTGACATCATCATTCAAGTTCAGGGACACAAGGATTATTAATGTACATATATAATGTACTTCTGACAGAAAATATGTGCAAATTCGACCTGTTCTGCACTACAGTGTGCAGGAAAAACTCGTTTGCCAAAGTTCATTGCAGTGAGCAGAACAAGTCAGTATTTACTGTAAGTACAAGTACGGTATGTAAAGTTTTAAACCAAGTCTGCACAATGTTAGAAAAAACATGCAACGTGTGATATTATCGTTTAACAATGAGATAATATCAGCTACAATAAACCCATACTTTCCTCTGTCATCACATTTTCCTCTGTCATCACCATCATCTAAACCATTTTGAAAGTTTGACTGCTCGGAAGCAAAATAAATAAATTTTAAAAATTAACAAATCATGTTGCCCACAGTATTTCATGCCAAAGTTTTAAATAAAGACCTTGTCAGTGCTTAAACAATGTTGGTGCGATAACTCTCAGACCAACACATCAAGATTTAGCTCAATATGTGTAAAAATCTTATGAAGTTTAGCCATTTTTTTGTATTTACGAAGGACAGTTGGATGTGGCGGCCATCTTGTATTAGCTTGACTCCTAAACTTATTCAGTTGTACATCCATTGTTCACTTTCTGAGAGCAAAAAAAAAACAATAGTCCTTACACTAGTTCATGAAATACTGTATTTTCCTACCAGACAGACAAAACACAGACACATACGATTACATGATGAAGAGATGCATCCTTAATGTCCTGTTCGACATAATTAACAAGATAAACATGTTTAGATGATAAGGGCGTGACTCACATGTGGATACAAAGGGTAGTGCAGGTTCCTGTGCAGGTCAGTGATGGAACTGCCACACCAGTCCTCAAACACGTGGAGGTTGGCCTGTCCCTTAAACTGAGAGATGAGAGCAGTGACAGATAAGAGCAGAGTTGTGTTTGCTGCAGCAGCAACACTCACCATCTGGCCTCAGTGTTGAGCAAACTAAACCCAACAAACACACACTTCCTTAGATACTTGACAGTACAGAGAGAGGACTGCAGCCTTTACCTGCCACTTGAGTCCGACAATCCAAACCTCCTTGCTACATGTAAACACAGATTATTTCAAGAGTCAGTTCATCTAAATAAAAAACAGGATGTGAGAAATCCATTGTTTCAGATACGTGTCTGCAAATAGAAACAGACCCAAATGTTTGTGTGGATATACAATCCCAATTCTGAATAAATAAATCTAAATGCAATCATTCACAAACCTCATAAGCCCATATTTTATTTTCAATGAAACATAGTTAACATATCAAATATTTTAACTATGAAATTGTCTCATTTTTAGGAAAAGAACCAGATAATTTTGCATACGATGTCAGCATCACATCTTTAAAAAAAAAAAGACAAGACAGGTGCAACAGAAGGTTGTAAAAGTAAGTGGTATGAATAAGAAACAGCTGGAGGAGCATTTTACAACTAACCAGGTGACATGGCAACAGGTCAGTAAGAAGGAGGAGTATAAAAAGGGCATTTTAAAGCAGCTGAATCTCTCAGAAGTAAAGATGAGCAGAGGTCTACCAGGGTGCTAAAAATGCATCTTTGCTGAAATTGTTCAATGATGTTTAATGTTGTTCAACTGAAATTGTAAATCCTTCATATATATACCATCATCTACACCTTGTAACATCCTCAAAATATTTCAAGAATCAGGAGAAATCTTTGTGCTCATAGGACAAGGCAGAAAGTAAATACTGGATGTTCATGATCCTAAAGCCCTCAGGTCTGATTGTTTGACAGCACTGCATGGGCTCATGAACCCTTCCACAAATCATTATCTATATAAACAGTTTGCATAACGTGGGGTAAAGCTATCCTGTATGCGAAGCAATTTGTGAACACCATCCAAAAAAAAACTCTGCTGTCTTTTCTGGACCAAAGCTCGTTGAAAATGGACTGAGGTAAAGTAAAAAATTGTTTTGTGGTCAGACAAATCAAAATCTTGTTGGAGACCGGCATTCAGCCTGTTATCAACAAACAGTTCAAACATCTGCCTCTCTGGTGGTATGGGGGTGCATAAGTGCCTAATACAGCCTACACATCTGGAAAGACACCATCGTGCGTGTGTCATTATATATCTATATCTATCTATCTATATCTCTATCTCTCTATATATCTCTATCTATATCTCTATCTCTCTCTCTCTCTCTCTCTCTCTCTCTCTCTCTCTCTCTCTCTCTATATATATATATATATATATATATATATATGGCAAGTTATTTTAAACATATGTTCCATTGTGAATAAAATGTGTGGTACAGATGGCTAATACAGTAATAGTTTATAGATACATTATTACTTCCTCTATAAAATTTTTTATAAATCATTAATAACTGCTTATTATGCATTAATTAAGGGTGAAATAGAGACAAAACTGAGCAGTTTCTTGCCAAATAGTGAGCCAAATCTGTTCAGCTATATTTTTCATCTAGAGTTGTTATATTAAACATTTCAGACTAAGTTACTACCTTTTAAGCACAATAAGTATTTGTAAACCCATTTCTTTAGCATGTACTTTATCACTGCATTATAAGTATCTACAACTAATATTACTGTAAATCCTAAAAAAAAAAAAAAAAAATGTTTTTAATCAGGTTTACAAATGATTGTGCTTACAAGGTAGTAACTTAGTCTGAAATGTTTAATATAACAACTCTAGATGAAATTTATAGGTGAACAGATTTGGCTCACTATTTGGCAAGAAACTGCTCAGTTTTATCTCTATTTCACCCTTAATGCATAATAAACAATTATTAATGATTTATAAAGTGCTTATAGAGGAATTAACATATTTATAAACTATTTATTAGCCATCTATAAGGGGAGGCTTTTTGTAAAGTGGTATAGAATGGGTTTTATAAAATTAGTAACCCATTGCATGATTTATTTACACTTTACACACTTTTTTTAAAACAGGCATTGTACCTGGAAAAGCGTAACTTTTTATTGCACCAACAGATAAAAAAAAAATAAAAAATTCACAACAAATAAATAGAAATGCAAGTCGACTCTCTCTCCTGCACTTTGTATAACCTCGCAAAAGGTTTGTAGAAAACACTGGAAAGTACACACGTGCTATATGATGAAGCAGCTGAGTTTCAGTGGAGGCCCAGATGTCCTGTAAACGTACACCTTTGTGACATCTACCGAAGAGGCCATGTTATCTGATCTGCATGTGTGTTGATTGCAGAACTGGGACAGGATACTGCGACTTGGAGCCAAAAAATAACGTTGTGGTGTGGTTAATCTGGTTTCCTTAGTGGTCAAGCTCAACAGTTTGCTGCCATAAGCAAAGTTAGTTAAAGATTAGCATGAAGTTCAGACAAAGGGCAGTACAATAATCCCCCAAGATAGAATTAGTGCTTGTAATATTTAACAGGGATTTTTTTTTGTTTCATTTTTTATGTTGAATATCAAAGGTCAAATTGCTCATTTTCTGTGAAGCTCAACTTTACTGTACATTGTGGTAAAGATAGTTATGTTAAGACTCGTATTTCAATCAGCAGCATGACAATCTGTTGTAGTTCTGCTGAAGTTTTTACAAAAATAAATGTCCCCAACGCATTATCTTTTGCCCTTGCCTTTCAAATGTGGTGAAAACCTCGAGAAGCAGCAACAGCTTCCCTTCAACAAGAAACACAAGCAACTGGCAACACGGACCCAGTTCGTATAGAAGAAATGTGATGACACTGACAAAGCAGTGGAAGCTGCTGAACACCGCTGGAACACAAAGAAACAGTAAACAGGCAAATGCACTGAGCCGAGAGTAAAGCAGGCAAGTTCAGGCAGATTATTCAGAGTTCAAAGGAGGTGCGGTGTAGTATTCAAGCATGCAACCAATGCGCACACGTGTACACCATCTAGACACTTATACAAACCTCTGGTTTCCACGTTTGTGGAGTGTAGCTAGAGACCCAGGCTGCTGAATCTTCCACAGAGTCTGCTTGGTCATTTCCTTTCCCCTGAAAACACATTAAGCACGGTTTAGCTTTAGCTTGGTTTCCTCTACCCCAGTTTGCACAAACACAAAGTCATGCATCACCAAACTTTCTGTCTATTCTCCTTACCGCTTGGTTAAGCATGGCTCTTCTCCATTTGCTGCCATTGGGATTCAGACCTGCAGAAAAAAACAGGGAGCAAACGATCAGAGCTCAGCAGGGTTGAAGGGATGACCATTTCAAACTTTGATTTGAAAGATATTTAGGGTTTACCGAGATTACAGAACCAGTCCTTATAGCGTGACTGCTGAATCGGCATTCACACCATTCCTGTTTTTATTTATTTATTTTGATGTATTTTGCAATCCAAGTACTTTGGCATCCTTTGTGCTATTTTAGCTATTCATTTATGAAAATATTCAGCTCGTTCAGGATGTGGCTCTTAATTGTGACTTTTTATTTTTGTAACTTTTACATATTTTAAAACAGTTTACTTACAAATATTTTCCTAATAGAAATGTAATAAGATCACTTAATATCTTAAAAAACATTGTTTAATCTGAAATCTACTTTAGCATACATTTGCCTTATTTTTGTCTTCATATGCTCCTAGCTACTTTTCTGCTACTTTTAGCTTTGGCTAGCCTTTTGCTTTTTTTTTAGACATTTTCTACTTTTAGGTTTTAGCCATTTGGTACGTTTAGATTCTAGTTAGGATTATGCTACTTTTAACCAACATTTGCCATTTTTAACTAGCATTTTGCTAATTATCTTTTAGCTACTGTTTAGCCTTTTTAGCTTTTAACTAGCATTTTTGCTACTTTTAGCTAGACTTGTGTTTCTTTTATCTTTAACAACACAGCTCCAGCTTTTTCGGCAGTCATTCCACGCTCAGTATTATTACACACAAATTTTAACAGCGAATGTATTATTTTTTAGTTAACGCATTGGTATTTATTCAATTACTTTAAATAAGATTGTCAAAATAAAAATCTGTACAATCGTCATGGTGGTTGATTTAAGTCACATAGTAGCAGATTTAAATTCCCCTTATTACAGATGTTTTCCACCCACTTCTATGTCACAGGGGAGTCTCACTATGTTTTGATTCACAGCTGATGGTGGCTAAACCCAACTCATCTTAGCCAGGCGCTTCTAAAAATATGCTGCAACTGTTTTTGACAAAATATTTAACATTTTGGCATACACAGATGTATTCCTTCTGACCTTCTCAATCATAGCCTAAAATTACAGGGCAGTGGGAGCTTCATAACAGGGCTTCACTGTTTGGGTTTTCATGAGCTTGTGGTAATAGTGGGTGAACTGGGGTTTATGGTGGTTAGGAAGGTCTGTCATTATCACTAGGGTGGAGATCTCCAGACACAAACCCCTGAGACATGGAGGCTACTTCTGGAAGCACAAGTAATTCTGTAGAGCAGAGGTTAAGAAAAGCAAAAGAGAAAGATGTCAAATTTACAAGTGAACTTAATGTCTCTTTGTATGTTGCTTTATTTTATTATAATTTGCAAGTAACCCTCAATGGGTAATTAATAAACACTAGACAATGGCTTAGCTGATTTTATTTGTAAGCAGTTAAATAATTGTTTCTATTGGACATTTTCACAAATATCAGAAGGATTTGGCTTAGCACCAATACATCTGTATAAGGATATCAAAAGGTGAGGTGAAGTATAAATACAAGACAGTAAAGTTAGAACCAACATAATGAACCTGAATGGAGGAAAAAATAAAACCATCCAGAGGACCTGACTTCACTTTGTTGGATTTTCTACCTGGATTATTGAGCACAAATTAGGATGTTTTGAACCACTTTGGCCATGGCTGCCTCAAACTAGTCGATGGGGGAGAGGGCGGACTCCAGAAACCATCTGAGCACCATCAACCTGGACCAACTATGTGAAGGTGCTATTTATAAGACTGAGTTTGTTGCGACTCCTCAGAGTGATGGAAGTCTTTTGGATGAAAGACGAAACGTTGCAACAAAATTAAAACCGTCCAGAGGACCTGACTGAACTTGGTTGGATAATGAACCTTAATAGCCTAGCTTTTATTTGGACACATCCACATGCTTAGTTCATTAGCTTTAGAGCTTAAGCACATTTAATTTAAAATACTGTGGAAAAAAATATATTAAAATGCTAATCCTCCTCTTTAAAAGGGAGAGCTCAAATTATGTGAAGAAGGGTTCTGTGGAAAGATATTTTACTTGTTGTAAAAAAGCTTTTGTGAATAACGTAAGTTTACACACACAGATTAATTCTACTGGGTTGACGAGCGAACGACTAAGATGAGCAAGTCCAAGACCTAAGTGGATTTCTGCTGTCTTAAAACAAGTCCATTCTTAAAATTGTTATACAAGTTCATGCAAATACTTTATTACGAATCTTAAAGAGCTAGTCCAGTCATTTTTGAGGTAATGTTCTGTCAAATAGTTATCGCTGGTTAGTACCTTGTCACCAGTGACAGCAGACACAGAACATGGAGTATGAAGAAAAAGGCAGAAGTCTTCCTCCAGGCTAGGCTAAAGGCCAAACAAGGGCCTGTTTTGCATCGTTTTTCAGACTTGTTATAAACAATTATCACATTCTTTCACACCACTATGACATTTTTGAATTTTTGAGGAAAAGTTGTTTTATAAACCTGAAAAAAAACTATTAACAACTTTGCTAGCCATTAGCTTAGCCTGGGGAAAGCCTTATGCTTTTTTTTCTTCATCTTTTGCACTCTTTAATCGATAATTTACTAACTAGTGATAACTACAAGTGCTGGTCACAAAATTAGAATATCATGAAAAAGTTAATTTATTTCAGTAATTCCATTCAAAAAGTGAAACTTGTACATTATATTTATTCATTACACACAGACTGATATTTCAAATGTTTATTTCTTTTAATGTTGATGATTATAACTGACAGCTAATGAAAAACCCTAATTCAGTATCTCAGAAAATTAGAATATTGTGAAAAGGTTCAATATTGAAGACACCTGGTTCCACACTCTAATCAGCGAGTTAACTCAAAACACCTGCAAAGGCCTTTAAATGGTCTCTCAGTCTAATTCTGTAGGCTACACAATCATGGAGAAGACTGCTGACTTGACAGTTGCTCAAAAGAAGACCATTGACACCTTGCACAAGGAGGGCAAGACACAAAAGGTCATTGCTAAAGAGACTGGCTGTTCACAGAGCTCTGTGTCCAAGCACATTAATAGGCAAAGGGAAGGAAATGATGTGGTAGAAAAAAAAGTGTACAAGCAAAAGGGATAACTGCACCCTGGAGAGGATGGTGAAACAAAACCCATTTCAAAATGTGAGGGAGAGTCACAAAGAGTGGACGGCAGCTGGAGTCAGTGTTTCAAGAACCACCACACACAGACGTATGCAAGACATGGGTTTCAGCTGTCACATTCCTTGTATCAAGCCACTCTTGAACAAAAGACAGCGTCAGAAGTGTCTCGCCTGGGCTAAAGACAAAAAGGACTGGACTGCTGGTTGGTCCAAAGTTATGTTCTTTGATGAAAGTAAATTTTGCATTTCCTTTGGAAATCAAGGTTCCAGAGTCTGAAGGAAGAGACGAGGCACAGAATCCATGTTGCTTGAGGTCCAGTGTCTAGTTTCCACAGTCAGTGATGGTTTAGGATGCAATGTCATTTGCTGGTGTTGGTCCAAGTTCAACGCGGCCGTCTACCAGGAAGTTTTAGAGACTTCATGCTTCCTGCTGCTGACCAACTTTATGGAGATGCAGATTTCATTTTCCAACAGGACTTGGCACCTGCACACAGTGCCAAAGCTACCAGTATCTGGTTTAAGGACCATGGTATCCCTGTTCTTAATTGGTCAGCAAACTCACCTGACCCTAACCCTGTTAGAAATTTTATTTTGGTGGAGGCCAAGTCTGATCTACTCTGACACATAACCTGGTTCAGAACAGATCACACTGTCTCAGCTGCTCACAATGAGCGATCCCAGAGTCAGCACCCGATAAGGAGTCATTTTTGTTCCCTCGCTTTCCAACATTTAGATAGAGATGCACATCACCCCATCTTCCATCATCAGAAACAGATAAAACCAATGATGTCACACATAATCACCCCACTGATACACTCTGATAGGCTGTGCCATCACAGATGTGGGGGCGGAGTCAAGGGCCAACATAAGCTGGGGTGTTCTGTTGCACGGGGCCTCCGCTTCTGGGTTAAGACGGGTCGGACAGATGCCTCAGTGCTGAGCTTGTAACTTATCGACATAAAATAGTAAATAGAATTTACCTAACCTGATTTTAATGAGTTTGTGTGAGTTTCCTCTCCACCTGGGAATAAAAGAACCAGAAGACGAAGGTGGGGAATCTGACCAGTTTCAGAGACAGACCCAGTCTGGATTCAACAACCACGGGGTATTAAGAGGAAGATGCGTCAGACCCAACAATTCAGAAGAGCTGAAGGCCACTATCAGAGCAACCTGGACTCATAACACCTGAGCAGTGACACAGACTGATCGACTCCATGCCACGTCACATTGCTGCAGTAATCCAGACAAAAGGAGCCCCAACTAAGTACTGATGCTGTATATACTTATACTTTTCATGTTCATACTTTTCAGTTGGCCAACATTTCAAAAACATTTTTTTTTTTCTATTGGTCTTAAGTAATGTTCCAATTTTCGGAGATACTGAATTTGGGGTTTTTATTAGTTGTCAGTTATAATCATCAACATTAAAATAAATAAACATTTGAAATATATCAGTTTGTGTGTAAAGAATGAATATAATGTACAAGTTTCACTTTTTGAATGGAATTACTGAAATAAATCAACTTTTTAATGATATTCTAATTTTATGACCAGCACCTATGTTTGACACAACATCACGTAAAATGTGACAAGACCATTCATTTAACATTGCCATCAAGACTGCGTTACAAGTATTTCTAGTATTTTGTAGTTATTTGTCAGTGCAAATAGCAACAGAAGCTAGCTGTAGCACTTTCAGAGCAGTCAGGCATATCCTGCAGGAATATAATAATTCTGCTGGAATAACTGTGCATTTCTTTTGCATCACAAGGTGTAACTTTTTGTTATATATATATAATTTTTTTTTTTTCAGATTATAGTAGTTTTTAAGAAGGCAGCAGTCCACTCAGATCTTGCTTAAATTAGCCGTTAGCTCATCAGTGGGGTCCGAATTAAACCAATTCTCCAAACTGTTCAGAGAGATGTCTACCACAAATAAATTACCTATACCGTTCATTAACTTTTCAATGAATCCAACTTCAAAAAATCTTAAATATTATTTTCATTTGAGAAATAACAGATTGATTTTACGAGAAACAAGTTTATACAACACAATTACAGTATGAAAGCAAAAAGTTACAACATAAGTTGTGGGGAGGAGAGTTTTATTCCAGCTTTAGCACAAGAAAGCCTTTGTTTTAAGAGACAGGCCTAGTGGATAATCCTTTGCATGGTGAAGAAAAACCCTGATTATGAATGCACAGCAAGTTAAGTACATCGACCATTATGCAGGTTTGCACATTTGCTGGTTAATGATCAAGAGAGCACTTCATACCCACATCCTCGGAGAATTTAACCACAAGAGGTAAACCCCTGGTAAGCTTCAAGAAAGAAAAAAGAACAAGCGACATATGCATCAGTAAAGTCGTAAAACAAAGCTTTTAAAAGTGTACAAAATGTTGAATTTAAACTCCAAATGAAAATATGTATAAAGTTTGGAGAAAAGATGATTAGTTCAGGACATATCACATCGTCTGTCAAAGGAAAATGTATAAACATAGATGTGCACAAAATATAAATACGATTTAAATATTTAGTCATTCAGAAAAAAGATGTTAAGCTGAATTAAAAAATTGGGTGGGGGTGGGGGATAACTTAAGACTGGAAGAAAATTACCAAAGACAAACACTGACTGCAAAAGACTTTTCCCATTTGTTAATTTATTTTTAAAACAATTATTAAAAAAAAAAAAAAGACAAGTAACTTTAACTTTACAGCGGGGGTCGACAGACGGTTTCCATTTGTCCAAGACGAGCCATTTTCATCCTGGACAACCAGAACTCACCTACAGGCTGTCCAGTGGACGACCAAGTAAAACAGACATGGATTGAAGTAGTGAGTAAAGTTAAAGGATTTCCGTCATCTTTAAAAATGAAAGGGGGAAGAAAAAAAAAAGTGTGTTTTGTGGCGGTCTTCATTCTAATGACACAGGGTTTAAACTGACCCTGCCTTCAACAAATAAAGAGAACCAGAACCACAGTTTTCACTCAACCTGTTTGGGTCTCTCATGGTGCAACGGGCAGCGTCTGCTGCTTTAGCTCTTATAATTAAAACTATATTAACGGTAAAAGATGAATATTTATATGCCCCAGATTGTAGCAAAGATGTGTCTATGTTAAACTTTAATTTCCCACCAAAATTTACAAAGTTCTCCGAGAGAGTCAGATCATAAATATCTGCTAAATTCAGTCCTACTTTAGCAGCAACAAAGTGTTGTCTGTTTGGATACTGCGCCAAACTTGATTAGATTTAGAATCAAACTGAGAGGTAACAGTGCTGTGATAAATTTAATAAATTATCAAATATATGAACAACAATAAATAAGACGGCAGAAACCACTGGTATGTTTGATGGCAACATGGTAAACTGGTAAATGATCAAATATGTAAATATATTGGAGCTGAAATCCTGTAAATATAATTCCTTTGAATTAAATAATAATAATTTAGGGAATAAATCTGTCTGTCTGGGAATTTTTTTAAGTTAATTTATAATCTGCAAAATGACTTCCTGTGTTATAATTTATTAAAATATATAACCCCTCAATTGAAAACTATGAAATGACCCAAGTTGTTCAAAGTCCCTCTCTTCCTTCAGAATGCTGCTGGTCTTGATGGTGCAGGTTTAAAGTCTTCTTACAACTTCAACACTTCATTAGGAGAAAACTATACGGTGTACTTTTACTAAGGTCATGTACACACAGTATACTTCTCTTTATGTGAACAACTTTGAGTACCTGTATGAATGTAATTACCTGCTGTCTGTGTGTTTGTCTGTTAGCAAAATATCTCACAAACTAATACATGGATTTTATTGAAACAAATAAAAGTAATCAATGGATCTACAGCTACAATTGAACTGACCGACTTTTGGAGTCAACCCAATTCCACATGGCTGCCAGGCGAGTTTATCAAACACAAAAGTGGCTACAGCGTCGTCGGTTTTTACAGATAATAAGCTAAAACTTGATGTCATAGAAGCGGAGGCTGATTCCCAACATGTTCTTCAAGTGCTAACAGATAATGAGAGATCTCAAGTACATCCTGTGCTGAACTTTATTTTCAAGATTTGATAAAATAGCCAAGACTGATTGCAGAACACTTGTAAAATATAAGTACAAATATCCTAAAATGTCAAATGACACTGGAGATAGACCTTATCATAAACTCCAGCATGACGTTCTCTTTTGTCCCAGGACAGATAAACATAAAGATCACAGATCCACACAGGCAGCAGTGCAGTTATGCCAATTTATCTCTTTAGTTTCTGGGTGGCCGACCGGAGAAAAAGCAAGCCATCCCTTAAAGTCGTGTATGTTGAACCGTGAGCCTGAGCATGCTCCTGTAGAAACCTGCCTTAGACAAGCTGAATCGGTTTACTGTGTAGAGTAGATAAATACTGTACGTGGGGAAATAAAAACAAAACGGAAGCCTCGTTTCCATTCTCGTTTTATGACCGCATGAATCAGCTTCAACATAATTTATTTCAAGATCATTCCTATAAAAAAAAAAAAAAGGGTAGAAGTTTGTTTTTAACCAACCTGTAAAATGAGTGCTTCTGGGTGATAAGATTAGACGTGATTACATAATTTTAAGTAGGGATAAATGAGCAGCTATAAAACCTCTGGAATGACGAAAGCTTGCTGCAGGTAGGAATATATTTAAAGAGGCCAGCACTTAAGTTCACCAAGATCTTCAAATGAAGCCACATGAACACAGCTAAAAATATGCATTTTTATTTATCGAGCAAAAATTATGGTCCTCGTGAAGAATGAAGTGAATAAAATCCAAATTTAGAAACCAAAGTAAACGCTTGCAAGTGCAATGCATCGAACTGAAAATGCATTGTGTCATGTAAATGTTGGGCCCGCGTTCACACGCTGAGGTTCGGTTCAAAGCACGTCATGAAGGTTAGCTTCTTTCTTGTGGGCAGACACCAGCTCTAATCTCCATCCTTTCTGCAGACGTGGTGGTGTCCTTGTGTCTTCTACACAAACGTGTGAGCGAGGCAGTAAATGAAAACATGATGTGTGAAGATGCTAGAAGCTAGGAAGTTTGGTTACCTAGTGAGAAATAAGATTTTCCTCAGAGTGCATGTGCAACCTGACCTCCTGACCTTCCCTTCCCCCGTTCCCTACCAACTATGATGCACAAGGAGCCACTTTTCTTTGCAATTCAGACAGTTTTAACCTTGTTTTTTTTAAAAAAATACTTATTAATGACAAGCTTAAATGGTCTATCTGATCATGATCATACATGTCATACTACACATGCAGCTTTCTAAATGTGCTTTTTTGGTGTGTGGACTTTTCAAGTGAACAATAAACCTATTAGATGTAATTCAATAAGGCATTCCTCCAACTTTCTGTGACTGCAAGGCATTTTTGGTCCACAAAACGGAAAGATGTCTCTAATTACACCAAAAGAAACCGCATGAAACTTTGTCACTGTGGGAAGAAATGATTCAGAAATTAATCAGGAGGGCTGCTTTTTAGTGACACGTGGTTTCAACTTGAGTGTTTCTCTTAGTCTACGACATGCATTTTCATTGTTTGATTTCAGCTTCTTTTGTTGGACAATAGTTTGAAGTGGCGTCCACTTGTTGAGGAACTCACCAGTCTCACTGCTCCATGTCCTCCCTGCAGAAACCATATCATAGACGGCCAAAGCTCCAACCAGGAGAATCGCCCCCAACAGAAAATATTTGCCATTCCGCCGCAGTTTCTTCAAGGGGAAAAACGCAGCGATCATCTTGGCTCCGGGACGAAACTTTGACCTCGAGTTTCTCATCTGCCAGATCGCCAAACTTTGTTAGCAGGTTCGCGAGTTCGATCCCCGGTGGGCGCTGCTAGCGATACCACGAGTAATAATAATCCCAGTGCGAGAGTCCCCTCCTGGCGGCTCTCATCCCGCTAATACGAATTATAATTTAAAATAAACAAAAGGAAAAAAAATCCATGACCTGTTATAGCTGGTAATCTACATTAGGATGACTTTCGGTTATCTAAATATGTCAACGAGTTTCCCGTTCCTCTAATCACGGAGCACCTTGTGTCCTACCTCCTGCTACGGCTGTCTTCACTTCGACTGACACACACACACACACACACACACACACACACACACACACACACACACACACACACACACAATAAAGAGTGAAATCTCACACCAGCTTCACTCCCATCGCCATTCATCGTCAGACAGAGCGAAACAAAAACAGCAACCTAAACAAGACAGCGTGCGCATTCAGCGTAAAAGCATGCCACGGCATAAGGACGGGAAATAACCACAGAAAGTCACAGATACGTACTTAAACATTTGCAGTTTAATTTACAAAATGAACCATACAGTAGAGAAGCTTGTTTTTTTACAATATCCTTTAATATGTTAACGTACATTTCCCAATCTTTTCGTCAACTATTTTATTTTGGAATACAAAACCGGAAAAACTATACGCTTGCTAGCAGTTAGCTTAACGCGCGCTGCTCTGAGATTTGAAGGAGGCGTGAACACGACAAACACCAGGTGCAAACCCCGCCCCTTACCTTCAGACTTACCTGGAGCAGGTGTGATCATAAATAGTTATTTTACTGGTTTCTTTCTTGTAATGACAACGCAAGAATCACCCCCATAGTCTTCTTACTGTATAAAAATAAGTTTTCTGTTTATCATTTAAAAAAACTCGTAGCCCATTCATGAAGCATCTTGTATTTTGGTGTTTGGTATTATTGTCAATGTGCTGCTAAATACTATTTTCTCAAGACTGTAGTGCTGTCACATAACCTAACCTTACTGTGCAATGGTTTTAAATCACCCCCATTTTATTTACAGTCTGCTTCCAAGCAGCCAGACTTTGTTCTTGTTCAATTTGAAGCCTTTTCACAGTTTTTCATTAAACTTTTGTCTGCTGTTTTCACTCAGGTTCTGCCTATCTGAACATATTAACTTAACACTGCGTGGATGTAAATTAACAAAATGGACAAGTTGGTTGACAAAAGCAGAGATGACATCAGCATGCTTGTCTTTAAAAAAAGAACAAAACTGTAAAGACCTGATGGATGACATGGGAGATCCTTCAGTACTATATGGTAAACTGGTAGCTCTTTGGAAATAATCTTGTTTGTGCTAAAATAATCATATATTTTTCATAATTTCAGCTGGAACTGCAATAAATTGTGTTTGTGACAAACTGCCAAATTGTCTAAAGATCCTATTTTAAAAAGTTAATGAAGTTCATGGGAACTCAAGGGATGAAAAGTTTATCCTTGAGGGTTTTGGGGGTTTTTTTGTGCCTGAATTATTCACAGAGTTAAGTAGCTTAACAAACAACCAAGCAAATTCCCCTGAATGTGTTCAAGTGCTGGACTGAAAGTGAGTGAC